AAACAGCAGGTCCACATCTCCTCTGGCATCCCCGTCAAGTTCCTGATTAGAGCTGGTTGGATAGTATTTACAAATAATATGTTCAACAATTTTTTGTGCCTTCTGTAACTGAAAAAATTAGTCACACGCTTTTTAAAATTACTTGACCAGCGTTGTAGGTGGTTGAATAATATTCAAATAAATTGTGATTTCCCTCCCCCATCAATCATTTAATAAATTATTAAAAAATATTTTTACAGTATTCTACCAGTTCTAGCCCCAATAATTTGGGGTTCAGGAAGGGAAATGCATGCCATAAATCCACACTATCACAGGAACATAGGACTGCCAGGGACCTCTTGGGTCACCGTATTTAGCCCCTGCTGTCACAAGCAATGCATCATACTCTCCCTCATTAGAGACAGTTGTGAGGGATGTAAATAATACCAACAAAGAATTGGAGGGAAAAACAAAGAGATTAGTTATTTATCATCCAACAATAATTTGATTCCTTTCTTTGCAGGGTGGAGAATTGCAGCAATTCGGTATCAGATTTGCTGTATAGTGAATCCAGTCTGAACTGCCAGGAGAGGGAGACAATGAATGGAATAAGACAGTAGAAAGGATTGAATGCTGATGTCAATTAAACCAGATCCATGAAATCAATGAGGGGTTTCAGTGGTTGTTCTTCATAGCCAGCTCAGTTTGGTATGCAGGGGAAGGTGTCTGTTTTATTGTGATAGTAAATTTCAGAGCACAGAGAGTAGAATATTGGCATTTCAATCAGGCAACTTCATAGACACGCAGCCTGCTCAACTCTGTGTTGAAAGCTTTATGAAAGAGAGCCTGTAGGATATCCAAGAGATTACTTACAAGATTCTAAGGGATGGAGTTGAATGAAAACCTTATAACAGAGCGTGGAGTCCTTATTGATGTGAATTTGAAATATGCCCCTGATCTTTCTGGAGTCTCTATAAAAAGCACAAAGATAACAGAGTAAAAATACTTACCTATAAAACACAAACACACAGGCATATACTTATTGGTTGACATACAAACTTTAGGTGTCATCCTTTGAGAATTGAAAATCGGTGATGTTTAGAGTGGGTAATTCAGGAAAGCCGACATTGTCAAATGAGTGGATGTGGGTGTGAGAGATGGGTAAATATTTCAGGTTTTCAAGAAACCATAAATTATACTGTATCACTACCTTAATATATTCTGAGAATTTTCTTTTGACATAGCATTCCATGAGGATAAAATGTAGCCCTCAGCACATCAGTGTTTATAAACTGCTTGCTCTCATGCCATTAGAAAAAATGATGCTAGCAATTTCACATGTGCTAAACAGGTTTTCTGAGAAGCTGCAGATTTTGCTTAGCTAAATTATTAAATCAGTCTTTTTATTAAAATGGAAATGTTTCTACTAAAAATCCTAAAAAAAAGATGCTCCTGAGTAGAATATGACAGCTCTTAAACAGAGAGAATTAAGTTAGTTAGGCTATTTAGAACACCCTAAACCATCTCTAGGAAATTTCACTTATGCATTTTTGCTAAAGTTCCTAGTCGGAACTGAATGTCAATCTTACCTGATAGTTCATCTATAAATAATACATATAAACATGGACACTAATTCACAGGCACGTGACATTCTGATAGCTAGCGGAGAGGTGCAGCTATCAAGGTGGCTAGCGGAGAGGAACGGTTAGCAGGACAGCTGGCGGAGAGGCGCAGCTGGCGGTGAAGACTGCAGCAGAACCCCACGGAGAGACTTGGCAATCGGACGTCGACCCGAGCAGCGGAGCATGTAAAGTGCCCCCATACCTCCCCCCGCCCAGGCTGGGAGGTAAACTCTGCAGATGAACTTCTGAACTCCGGGGCTTCTGACCAAGGACAGAAACTGTGGGAGGGGTGACTTTTGGGTTGCTGGACTCAAGAACCACTCTGGGGCTGCATTGACCAAAGACAGACACTGTAGGTTGCTGGACTTAAGACCCTGAGGGGAAAAGGACACTGCCAAACTTACTTGAGGGTGGGTCTTTTGCTCATGGTTTGTGTTATGAATCCTGTTTGTGGTGTTTCCCCAACATCATGCCACATTGTTTCCCTCCTTTATTAAAAGGCTTTTGCTACACTTAGACTCTGCTTGCGAGAGGGGAAGTATTGCCTTCTAGAGGCACCCAGGGCGGTGGTATGTAATTGTCCCAGGTCACTGGGTGGGGGCTTGAGCCGGTTTTGCCTTGTGTTATTGAAAAGGAACCCCTAGATACTGAACCCGGCCCTTGCTGCTAACTCTGATGGGCAGAAGGGTTATAAATACATCCTTCTATCTGCAGGCCACTGCCCTGTATCCTCCTGCCAATAACAAGATGTTGGTGCCCAGCTCTCACGTTGCCTGCTGCCCAGCCTTCCCTCCACAGGCTGCTGCCTCCAGCCTGCTACTCCTGCTCACATGCAGCCTACGGGTACACTACAGATGCTATGGCTGCACAGTTACAGTGCTGCAGTAGCACCATAGTGTAGACATGTGCTAGTGACAAAAAGTTTTTTTTTCTATTGGTGTAGTTAATCCACCCCCTCAAGAGGTGGTAACTAGGCTGATGGAAGAATTAGGGTGACCAGATGTCCTTATTTTATAGAGACAATCCCGATATTCAGGGCTTTGTCTTATATCTGGTCACCCTAGGAACAATTCTTCCACTGATCTAGCGGTGTCTATAGGGGGCTTAGGTTGCCTTAACTATGTCCCTGCGCAATGTAGCTAGGTAGATCTAAGTTTTAGGTGTAGAGACCAGGCCTGTGGTTCCCTCCTGAGCCTGGTCCCTCTCTGACCTTTTATTTATTTTTCTTGTACACTGGTGATTATGGAGCGTTCTACTAGCTTGATGTTGAGCTAGGTAATTCAGTGACCTCCGCTGCCTAGATCCTTTCCCTCCAGCCCAATCAGGGACGATGGAAGATACCCAGTAGTGACTGATTTAATAATTTAGCTAAGCAAAATCTGCAGCTTCTCAGAAAACTTGTTTAGCACATGTGAAATTGCTACCATTGTTTTTTCTAATGGCATGAGAGCAAGCAGTTTATAAATACTTTACTGATGTGCTGAGGGCTACATTTTAGCCTCATGGAATGCTGTCAAAAGAAAATTCTCAGAATATATTAAGGTAGTGATACAGTATAATTTATGGTTTCTTGAAAACCTGAAATATTTACCCATCTCTCACACCCACATCCACTCATTTGGGTTGTACAATACTAGGTGCTTGGGGCCGTGCTGTGACGTGGAGCTGAACGTTGCAGAACAAGTTATGAGCAGAGTTTTATATCTACATAAATACATAACCACAGTCTGTAGACATCTCATAATGACCATCAAGTTCAGAACATTACAAGCTTTCATAAAAGACCTGACTCAATATACTTTTATAGTACACTAACATTTTATATACTCAGTTAATTCAACTGCTTATTCTTTAGCGTTCAAATTCCCTGTTCTCCCCTTGGGGTGTTTGGATCCTCATTTTCACAGTATGATCATAGGAGTTTGGGGAGTTAGTTGGTTTTTGGTTTGGGGATATTGAGGTCTTGTTTTTGCAGATCTGGAGAGTTAATTTTCCTAGATAGTTTTGTGGCAACATGCATTTCACAGACACAGCTCAGGGTATAAAGTGACTCTGTTCTATCCCCAGTTCTCCCTATGATGTTCACATCGGAGCATCAGACACATTAGTATTGTCTCCAAAGTGGTTCTAGGCACTACACAATCCATATGGATAGCTCAAGGGCATCATGAATCATCACACAGTCCCTGTGAGCCAAGCTGTGGGCTCCACGATCAGCTTGTGGCACCAGGTAGGCAGTGGACAAAAAAAAAAAACCCATGAGGTTGGTTTCCAGAGACAGGACACACGCAGTGTTGCCAACTCTTGAGAATTTTAGCATGGGTCTCAGGTAGGATTGCCACCTTTCTAATTCTGGTAACCAGACTCCTGAGGCCCCACCCCTGCCCCCTTTTCCCCTCAAGGTAGGAAGTAGCTCCTGCTAAGCAGGAGCTGGCAAAGGTTAATGACTGGGCACCTCCCCCCACACACAGTAACCAGGCTTTCGGTGTCCTGCCGAAAACTAGGCACCTGGCACCCGGACACAGAAGCCAAAAACTGGACTGTGCGGGTAAAACCCAGGCCACTGGCAATCCTAACACAATATTTGGTGTTTCTTAGAGCTCCAGCTCCTGGAGCCAAGTGATTAGATGAGAATCTCACGGGGTTTTTTTGTTTGGTTTGGTTTTGTTTTTTGCACTCTGTATTTCTAGCCCTCATGGTTATGGATAAAATTTGAAAGCGTGATCCACGTGCACCCTTAAGGCTCAAAAGACAAAGCAAAAGAACTCATGTTTTAGTCACTCCTTGATTTATCTTTAAATCTTATTATTTTTAAGTCTGTCTCATGACTGGCAGGGGCTGGGGATGCCGACATACTTTTTGAAGATTTGGGGATGACAACAACACGGCTATGAATGCACCCTCGTTGAGGCCCGGCCAGGGCGGATGCGGGAGCAGACCCCCCCCGGGAGCTCCGTGCAACGCCACCTGGGCACAGGCACAACCTTTGGTGAGCCGGGCCGGTGGGTGACAAGCGGAGGGCCAGCGCCGTGCACGCACAGCCGGGAGGGGAGCTGCTGCCCCAGCCCCGCTCCCCGGGGCGCGTCCTCTCTGGCCGGGTTTAACCCCTGTTGCCATAGTTACCGCCTCCCCCCCCCCGCAGGGGTCTGAGACGCTCCCAGCCCGGCCACCGAAGACGAGCATGTCAAGCTGGCCGCAGGAACCCGGGGGCTGCCCCTTGGCCCGTCGCAGACCCAGCCCCGCCTCCTGACGAGAAGGCGATGCCATGGCCGCGGTTTTTAAGCTGTGGGTGCTGAGAAACGACTTTTGCCCTTACTAAAGATGGCTGCCAACCCCTCTCCCCCATTGCCTCAAGTGGGCGTGAAGCCAAGCGGCGTCTGTTAAGATGGCCGCCGTTTCCCTGCATTCTCTGCCGCGGGGTTGGAAGTGAGGCCGCCCTTAGCAAAGATGGCTGCTGTTCCCACGTTGCTTCCAATCGGTGTGACGGTAGTGTGCCCTTAGACAAAATGGCCGCGCTCTGTTCTTCACCAGGGGCTGCGAGCAAGGCGGGCTGCTAACCCTGGCAGAAGAGTCCGTCCTCCTGGTAAGGGATGATTGTGCGGGGGGCAGCAAATTGAGCGAGTAGGGGCTGGAGGGAGAGAAATCTCACTTCCCCCGCCTGCTAGTGCCTGAAAGAGGAGGCTCTGCTAGTCCCTTTGTGTGTGACTGAGGTTGAATTTGTCTCTAAATGATCAGGCACAAACTGGGTGGGGGGGAAGCCTTCCACTCTCTTATCAGTAACAGAGAAATGGAGGTGGACAGACACATCTGTATTGTATACATCTCTCATCAATCCTTCCAGTCTGCCTTATTGCTTTCTCCCAGAAGAAGCAGGGTGGCATAATAGATAGGGCATTGGAGTGCAATTACTATTTCTGTCCTCAGGTTTTCCTTATGTTGTCCCATTATCCAGGGGGGCCAGTCTATGGAGCAGTCTTCTAAATTTCAGCCAGTGATCGATCCTCTGACTTTCTTTTCAGTTCAAGACAATTGATCTCTGATCTATTGGACCTCTTTTCTTCCTGTTCACACGCTCTTTCTTTCCTTCTGCCCCTGCACCTTTTTTATTAGCTTTTCCCATTTTGGGGACTGCTGTGAAACTACTCAAGGGACCAATAAAAATAGGTCATTTAGTGGTGGTGGTTTAATTAAACTATAATATTTGGTACTTATTCCATTCTGTGATCTCAAAGCGCTTTACAAACATGAATACCTTAAGCCTGATAACAATTCTGTAAGGTGACAATATGTGTATTATCCATGTTTTCCAGATGGGGAAACTGAGGCATAAATAAATTAAGTGACTCAGTTTGGTGATGTATGTGACTTTGAACGGGAGCCAGGATTCTTGGATCTCCAGTCTTGTCTTTTAACTACTAGAACATCTCCCATCCCTAAAGATTGAACAAAATAATACTAAAAACTTTGGAAGTTGTTGCTTACGATGAAGACTGCATATTGGAAGTGAAGTCCATAAAACAGATTTTGCTGTAATTCTCTTCAGCCATTTTCGAGTGGCTGAATTTTTGGGATTGCACAAATCCAACCAAGTCAATAAAGCAAAGATTTTAGCCTCTCTATGCTTTATTCAATACAAAAGTTAAAACAACCCACTTAGTCTTTTAATCTTTAATAAGCGTCAGCTGGAAACAGCTAATCCTTTTACTCAAAAGATAAAGAAATCTTTCTATTCGAGGCATAAAATATCCTAAATAGGGATGGTATGTTTGTTCTCTGTATGTGTGTTAATGTTATTGGAAACAAAGAAATTAAGAGATGGCTGAAATTATGACCTGGCAAGATGGCTTTTCTTTGATAGTCTGACTTTTTTATCTCTACAGGTGTACTGTGACAGTAAAAAGCAACAGAGGGTCCTGTGGCACCTTTGAGACTAACAGAAGTACTGGGAGCATAAGCTTTCGTGGGTAAGAACCTCACTTCTTCAGATGCAAGTCTCTGATACTGTGACAGTAAAGTGCATCCATCTAGGATCTCTGGTTCTTGTACACGCTGCCTGTGGTTTTAACTTGATTCCCAGGAGGAAGAACTGCTCAGATTCTCACACTTTTACCACATGTACTGGAATCCTGGTTGTTACTACTACAATGTCGTGGGTGCAAACTGCAGTCAGCCGGCCCAGTGAGGATGTGTTTGATGAAGATTCTGATGAACTGCATGTAGTGCAGAAAGAATGGAAGAGCACCATGGAGAAAAGAGTCAAAGTAATTTTTATAACCATTACTTTATTTTTAGTAGCCTTTTGGCCATTTTCTTTAACACATAAATTGATACCTGCATGAGTGTTTTAAGAGAAAATGGAGGATGGCTGTTTAAAAGTTATTGTAGATCAATTTGTTCTGTATAAACTAAAAATTGAGCAAGTTATTAAGGAAATGTGACCAACCAGAACACACTTGAGATTCTTCTAGGGGGAGAGTGCCTGCAAATTGAGAAATTGTAGTCAAAATTCTGCATATCTAATCTGCTCTTGGTGCATAATGTATTTATGTTTGTTACTCCCCCAACTACTCATGGGTGTTCTTTGTATAAATTCCTGAACCTCAATAGGAGGTTAGATCATCAGAGGCAAAAATATACAAATTTAGTCATGCGACTGTTCACTTTATTGATGGAGATCACAGCAATAGCAAAACGGTCCCTGGGTGCCTGCCACAGTTTCCCTTTAAAAAGACAGAAGTGGGAGGTCAGGTTGGCAGGAAGAATCTTCTGAATTCTAATATCAGTTCTGCCACTCACTGGCCTGCTCTTTGGCTTTGAGTACATTTGCTCCAGCTATAAAATGAGGCAATAATATCTTTCTATCCCCCTAGTGTGTTATGAGTATTAATGAGTTTGCATAGTACGTTGAACATGTAAAGTGCCCATATATATTCAAGTATGTAAAAGGTTGTTACGAGGAGGAGGAAGAAAAATTGTTTTTCATAACCTCTGAGGAGAGGATAAGAAGCAATGGGCTTAAATTGCAGCAAGGGAGATTTAGGTTGGACGTTAAGAAAAACTTCCTAACTGTTAGGGTGGTTAAGAACTGGACTAAATTGTCTAAGGTGGTTATGGAATCTCCATCATTGGAAGTTTTTAAGAGCAGGTTAGACAAACACCTGTCAGGAATGTTCTAGATAATTAGTCCTGCCACGAGTGCAGGGGACTGGACTAGATGACCTCTCAAGGTCCCTTCCAGTTCTATGATTCTATAAATGCCATATGTTATCAGGTATCTGGTTCATCTGGCTGGAGAGAAAGATATGGAATTTAATCAAAACAAAATCCAGACTCAGGCCAGTTTTATCATGATAGGAGATCATGTTTGTAAATTTTGAATGATATAATTAAACAAGGCAAATGAAGATGTATGAGCCATATTTTAGCATTTTTTAAAATAGTGGAAATCACCACTTAAATCAATTGCAGGTCCAGATTAAAAATCAGTAGTTCATTGTAGCCCTATAGTAACCAATATATAGTAATTCCTCTAGTTTGCCTTCCTATAGAAGTGAAAATAACAGTGAAAAAATAAATTTTTATGAAGGCTCATGTTAACAAAGAAATCCTAAAATCCTGCAGGGTCGAGATGAAGGGCAAAACTCCAACTTAAACTGGTATTGTATTAGACTCTTAGGATTTGATCTCATGCCATTTACTTTAATGGGCAAAGGATAAGCTTTTAATAATGTAGCATCACTATGAGTCATGGTGCCGGGAACATTAAACTTCCACTCTTGGGTGATCAACATCTGATCAAAATAACGGAGGGGGCGGGGGGAGAAGCTATGGTCTGGGCCATAGATTAGGGAGGGTACTGCTGTGGGACTAGAGCAATGGTTTTAAACCTGTGGTCCGCAGACCCATGGGGGTCTGTAGACTGTGTCTAAGATTTCCAAAGGGTTCTGCACCTCCATTTGAAATTGTTTAGGGATCTGCAAATGAAAAAAGGTTGAAAACCACTGGACTAGACAGAGCATTGTTCTTTGAAAAAGGCATCTGGATTTTGGCTTCTTCAAGGAAACTTTATTCTGCTGTTTCAAGATACTCCTGAGGCTAGCTCCTTGTTTAACCACATCTTTTGTGATCTTTTCATAGTTGAAATTCCACCATCTCCAATTTCCTTGAACAGAAAATAGAACTTGCTCTCTGAGATGTACTGTTTTCATTCATAGCTTCTCAGCCTGAGGGTGGTGACTACCATCCCTTTTTTGTGGTTAGATGGTAAAAGGGGTCCTGAAACTTTTTTGCTGTTGAAATTTGAGGTTGCAGTATGGAAGAAGACAAGAATTGCTGTTCTAATACATGTTACTATGTGTGTAGAATAAAGAAACATATTTATAGTACAGTCAGTTATTTTGACCTCACTGTATATAGTTCTGAAAAAGGAAGTCAAAATGACCATGTTTATAAAACATCAAGAAAAGTTTTTGTTTTCTTCTTTTAGTTTTGCGAATCTCTCATTTCTGCTGGACAGTACAGTATACAAGTTTTGCATGCATCTAGCCAAATTAGAAAGACACATTCCAAAAAAACTGAATGTTTATATAGACTTGAACTCTTGTATTATTTCTTGTAAAATAATCTCTGCTTGTAGCTGGATTACTGACATCAGTGACCTTTCATCTTGCTTACAGGAAGGCTATAGAGATGGTGTTGAGGCTGGGAAAGAGCTTTCACTTCAGCAGGGTTTCAATCGGGGTTACAAACAGGGTGCTGAGATGATGATGACCTGTGGCCAACTCAGAGGGACCCTTAGGTAAATGTTGAAGCTTTGAGATTGTTTGGTATGTTTATATGGAAATCTGGATCTACTGTTTGTCAAATGCTGAGAAGACTCAGGGTAACACTTTCAAAAGTGACTTTGGAGCTGAAATGCCATTTTAAAAACTGACTAAGTTGAATTTAGACTCCCAAGTCATCTAGGTGCTTTGGAAAATTTTACTTAGTCACCTCATACTTCAGATTATATTATGTAAAATATTCCTAAAATGCCTGTAGCTATGCTATGAGTATCAGGCATAATTTTTTAGGTAGCATTAAATTGGCCATGAAAAAGATGGTGTTACCTGGGAAGGCTTTAGCAAAAAGGTGGTCTTGCGTTTTAATCAGAAAAGTCATCCTAGAGGTCAGTCTGATTTTTCTCTGGTAAGGGCCGTGGTCCTGTCACTGAGAACCCTGCCTCAGCATTTGTCTTACTGTTGGCTCTGTTAGCTGAGACATCCTTATGGAGCACCGTTCTGCCCTTGTTGGATGCAAGAGTATGTAACCCAATGCAACCATCACACTCTGTGTTGGAACTACCACCAGTGCAACAGACACTACTATGTGATACTGGCTATTACAATTATTCTTCAGAACAAAAAAAATGTAGTGTGGTAATTCTTAGCCCACCTCCCATTCCTCACTTAAAATTAACAGGAGATTAGTGGTTCAGTGAGTTATCTGAATCTACACTTTTGGCTGAACATTCAGCTCTTCCTGTTGAACTTCCCTGAAACACGTATGCATGAAATGTACACACAAAAATGGAACGACTTTTTAACTTTAGTCAGCTTTTCACCCAATCTCAAGCAAACATGCAACTCACTGTAGGTGTTCAGAATCACATTTATTTCCACCTGTTTTGTTTTTCTCTTCAGTGCACTCTTGTCTTGGTGTCACCTTAATGGACAAATTTCTGCTTTGCTGAGTAAGATAAGTAACCTCCTGGCTGAAGTTGGCAAGTATGAAGAATATGTGCTTAAGTATATGAATTCTATCAGTCCACAGCCCCACCTTGGAGAATTACTGGATTCTGTTCAGGACATGGACCTTAGTCATACAATTCCAGTGGAGAATGAATTTGATGAAACTGAAGCTGGAAGACACTGTGAAAATGAGTCCGAGTTGAGTGAAAACTCTTGCAGGAGTAACAGTGGGGCTGATTCCTTGTATTCTGACAGTTGTAGGAGAACAAAAGAACACACACATTCTGAAAGGCCAACCCTTGCTTGGCTTAAAGAAGAGACCGTCTGTTTAGGAGAGCAGCTAGGCTTGTCACTGGACATATTACAGCATGTCCAACAACTGGAAAGTTAACTTTTCTCTTGTGCCAAATGGAATCCAATTCTAAGAACAAACTTGACAGGCTTGTATTTTATGTGTGGCTCAAAGGTTGGTTGTCATACTAGTCACTTAATTTCATGGGAATGTAGTGATCTGATTCTAATGTTTCCCTTTAAAATCTAATAAAACAACCCTTGCTCTCATCATATTCTGTCATACCTCAGTTGTTGGCAAGAACAGCAAAAAAAAAGTTGCTTTCACACCTCACTTGAATAGGTGGAGAGTACTTCATATACACTAGTGCCACTGCAGAATTAGACAGCTATGCATTTATGTGTCTGCTATTGTCTAGGACTCTAACATTTTCCTCTAATTTATTTAACTTGCCCTTTTTAATATTTTTTCCGAAAAGGAACTGAATGATTCTTGAGTCTTATTCCTACGGTAGAAACCAGTAGCTCCCAGAGTACCAAAAATAAAATAAATATTGCTATTCGGTTTAGAAGGTAGTCTGGGTGGAGAACTCCTTTGAACAAGTGGGAACTGCATGTACAGAAATAGGCAGCATGTGTTCCTTTTTGTTTAAATATTTGAGTGATGTTTTGCCAATTTAATTTGTTCAAAATAGAACAAAGACTTGCATTACATCAAATTGTGTATCACAAATCTCTGCTGTAATTAGCTCTGTTTTCAGAGCATCACTTCACTGAAACTGGTTACAGTACCCAGGACAAAACTTCATCTGAAGCAGGAGGTTAAAACACAAAAGGCTCTCCCCCTCACCAGTATTTTACCAAGCTGTAAATATTAAGACTGGGCAGCTAACTTCAGTTTCTCTATTTAAAGTAGAACTTTAGTGTACTTGAGCATATTCTAAAGCAGTGCCTGCCACCTTATGTGTAACTTTCCAAGAAAACTACTTAAACTAGCAAAGGCAAGAGGATCTAAGCAAAACTGCATACATCTTGAATATCACTTTAAAATTTTTTGGTCACTGGATATCAATTATATAGTAGGAAAATCTTGGATGATTTTTGCCACTTGTGGTAATGCATCTGATTGTCAAAGGTTTAAATAAAAAATTGCCACCCACCTATGGCATTGTGCATTTGGCTACATACAATAGAGGATGTAGGCCAGTTCCGCTATAGGTGTAAGGTGCTCAAAATGCAGCACAACTATTGTGTGAAGTGCAGAGCCAGAGTACTATGGCTGCTCTCTGCAGAGACAAAGGGGGGTGGGGGAGGGGGATTTTGTGGCTTGCTTGGGAAGTGATGGGGATGAAGCTGTGGAGACTCATTGTGCCTTCTGATGTGGTTATGCACAGCAGTGTCTGACCCCTAATTCAAAATATGGGTAATAGTACCCATCATGCCAAATGAGTGAAGTGGGTTTTGCTTGTGTTGGTGAGGAGAATTATTTTCCCTCTCTCATATCCTTATTTTGGGTATTGCAGGGTACTAAATTTTTTGCCATAGCTACAGTTCTCATCTTCCTTTGAAACATCAGCATTATCACCATCTGTGGGAGACAAGAGACTGGATTAGATGGACAGGTAATCCTTAAGGCATTAAATAAACCTTTTTCATTTTTGTTACCTGGTATATTCTACATCTTAGGGGAAAGCCAAAATGGAAGCTAGAGTATTGTAATAAGGTTATCACAGGACCAGAGTCTCTTGTAGCTGGAAATTTTAGCCTCATTGTAGGCCTTGTTAACTTATTTTAATATTTAATTCAATTAAGAAAACCTTATGGTGTGCCATGAGATTTTTTTTTAAATGCAATTGCCACCCTTTTCCCTCTTTAAACTTTTATAAATGTACTTTCTGTTCCTACTGCTTGGCATACTAGTTTCCCTGAAATCTGACTTGGCCTTACCCCTCTACTAAAATGGCTCTTATAAAGTTACCATATCTGTTCTTCTTCCCCTGCCTTTTCTACTGAGACATGATGGATCACACTTTCAGGCTTCAAAGAATGCTTTCCTGCTCCTTCAGCTGTTTCCAGTTAGTTATGCTTAACTAGTACCTGTACTCACAGCATGATGTAATTATGAACATTATTGAAAGCATGTAACTTATGAGACCTTACATTTTACTTTTTATGGACAAATACTACACCAAATATACTGCTTACAGGGTTTGTCAGGTCTGAGACTAGTTGAACAGGTGACTCTGTGCCACAGGCATATTAGCCACAATTTTCTACACACTGCTCCCATAACCGGCCACATTTCTTATGGCTGTCTCCTTATTTATCCTAACACGCTGCATTTGTCACTTTCTGTTGTTGATTTTGTTTAAGCTGACTGCAAATTCTTCTGGGCATGAAGTCTGTTTTGTTTAGTAAGTCAGTATTCATTTGTTCCGTACTGTCTTATGCACATTTCTCACCATATAAATCAATTTTAGCACCTACAAGACAAGAATGCTGAGGAGGACTTCTCACTATCTATTCCTGTTTTAAATTGCCACTACATAAGTTTTCATCTGGTTGAAAGCATGTTTAGTCAGAGGCCAAAAACAAATGTGGAGGGTTTGTTTACCACCTACATTGAGTGGATTTGAGAGTAGTTAAAACAAAAAAAAAACCCTACCCCTGTAATTCTGCTGTAACATTTTTGTACTCCAACAACTGAAGTTTAAGTTTTCAAGCCTAATAGTAGGCTAATCCTTCATGAATACAAGTCATTGGGCAGAATTTAACTAAAAAAAAATTTACACAGCCATTTGTTTGCAAAATTATTTTATTGCACACCTGTATTACCCATACCCCCTCTTATCCAGAACTTTTTGCAAAAAGAGGATATTAAACCAATACAGGAGGGGGGAAAGCTTTTAATTTACTACACAGTTCCATGGGGAATGGTACAAGTCAACTCATTTGTATCAAATTGCATTTGTGCACAAAATAGCTTACTAGCAGACTGTTTAACAATAGTTCCTTTCCCCTTCCACCTTTCTTACAAATTTTTCGATTACATGTTAAAAAAATGTTAATGCAACATTATGGTTTAATAAATGGAACTGCACAAAGAAAGAAAACAATCTTAAGGTTACAGCAATATAACTTGGCCACATTGCATGTTATATTATATGTACATCTACAAATATTCAACAAACCACCACCACCTAAGTAACTACATGCCCATATATGCATTATAGGTTAAATTAAGGTTGCTACAGTAGTGATAATTTTTCAAATTTGCGTTTATATTCTCCAAAAAAAAATATTTTTTTATTTAGCAATATGCAGGGCTGAAAAGATTTAATTCTAAGAGGAAATCCTGCTAGACAGAAGTATTGATCTTGCCAAATACTCCTCTACTGTTTCTTGAGACAATGTCTATTGATCACACTACAAAAAAAGTGACATGGAACCACAGTAAACATCAGATGAGTATTTGCTTTAGTTATACTGATATATCACAAATCGCACACTCAATACTGGCCGTGGAGCTGCTTGCCTCCATTCCATCACATGAATTTTGCATGCTGGCTCCAGAAATATTTGCTCCTGTACTGTTAGAAGACGTAGTTTGCTTGCAGGTCACTTCAGGATTTTGCTCAGAGATAACTTCCATATTTTGTATTTCACCATCAACTTTCATAGTGACAGCATTCTTGAAAATAGCTCTCATGACGAGAGGGACAGACATACAACTGAGGGGGAAAAAGGAGTTGAGAACATTATTCACTACAATGTTAACCACTCAGTCTCAGCCACTGTAAAAAAAGCAGACTAGCTTGCTGAAGTGATCCATTTTTTTCTGTGGGAAAATATGGATTATTGAATCAGAAGTTCTTAGTGTGTGTAACTCTTCAGTTAGCTAATATGGCTTCTCATATTCTTAGATATCCTGAGGACTGCATGTAAAGTTTTGTTTTTTTTTTTAAACTACCATCTTAGGATATCCCCTTAGATAGTTCCAAGTTTGGGTTTTAGGGTTTTACTTTTAATGAGAGCTTAAGTTGACAGCATTCACCTTACAATTAGAAAACTATGATAATTCTCATGCAATGTATGAAGTTTTAAAAGAATACAGCGCCTCAGTCCTGACTTATCCACAGTAGGGCCTTTTTACAAAAAAAGGGGGTTTCTACTGTCTGTACCACTCATAGGCACAGACGTCGTGGGTGCTTCAGGGCTGGAGCACCCAGGGGAAAAATTGGTGGGTGCAGCAGCCAAGCTCCCCGCCCCAGCTCAGCTCACCTCTGCCTCCTCCCCTGAGCACGCCACATTCCTGCTTCTCCCAGCGCTTGCCACTGCAAAACAGCTGTTTTGCGGCATAACGAGCTCTGGGGGAGAGGGGGTAGGAGCAGAAATACAGCACGCTCAGGGGAGGAGGCGGGGGTGATGATTTGGGGAAGGGGTTGGAATAAGGGCAA